AAAAAAAAAATTATATAGATTTTATTAGAACAAAGGTTAACGCTAGTGTTGCATCCTGAAAAAAACAATAAAACTATCACAACTATGTAGTGGAATAGCTGCCTTGTCTTGCAAGATTTGGGTACTGGAGTCACGCTGTATCACCTCCAAAAGCTTCCCAATAATTGTATTTGTACTCCGTGGATTAGAAGAAAGAAATTCAGCGGCAAAAACCACTGACGGAAGTGAGAAATGCCGATCCACCATGAGAAATGCACATCACAGTTCCGTCGCCATTCCAACCCCTCACCACCACGACGAAGCGGTTTCCAGTCTTAACTTGCGCAGTCTGTCAGCGCGCTTGCAGGTCCCAACCACCTAGTCAGGTACGTAAGGGATGAGGCTGCTCATCTTCATCCCAGGCTTCAGATTAAATGCTTTTCTGAACAATTAACTATTCTCAAACAGGACTGGGCTTTGTCGATCCTCTTGCACGTGCTCAGCCTTAGCTAGCAGCCAGCCTGAAGAGACAGTCGGATTCACCACCGTGTTCACAGGGAAACCCAAAGATACGAGTAGATTGAGAGATTTTGCCAAGAAAGATGACAGCTAGAGGCCTGAGATTTAAGGACGATGCCCTCAGGCAGACCAAGTACATAACAGACCTGCATCAATCTCCAGCTGTTTCCAGATGATAAGGAGGACGTCCTATGGCATCTTATTGCTGCACGTGCATCAGCCAGGGCTTGCGGGGACATGATATGCCACACTTCAGTCATAAGCTCTCCTATCCAAGCAAGAGTCAGACCAAACTGCTCTCCTGAAAAGCTCTGACAGCTCAAACCAGGGCTAATTTTAACAGGGCGCAGGATCAGTACTCAACCTCCACTTGAAAAAAATAATAATTGGGAATTAAAACAGGAATTAGAAGATTTAAATAAGAGCACAAGGTAACGGTTTAGCCATTACCCCAGCCATTAAGTACGTTTACTTACATATTGGTAATATGAGAAATACATTGGTAACATGAGGGGCATTTTATATGACAAACCAATCTGTGGTAATTTGCTCCCTAGTTAAAAAAAAAAAAGCCTGCGAAGGTAATTCAAGGAGGAACGAAAAGCCTCACCGACGTTTGACATATCCCCAAACTTTCAGGAGGGATATGTAAACAGGCAAGGCCAAGCACGAGCGCTCAAAGCAAGAGGCAGCAGGTAAAAAGGATAACTGAAGCTTAGTCCACACCGGCTTTAAACTCATCTACGTATTAATAGATACTGCTTCAGCTGCTTTCCAGGGGAGAGATCTGCAGTGCAGCTGTAAGCCATCACACCCGTTTGACAGCAGACTAAACACTTACGCCTGCATTTCCATTTTGCTGTGCTTTGAATGTTGATTCCATTTATCACACAAAAGGGCAGCTGGGGACTCTTAAGTAGCACAATGCTCAGAGAAGTGATTCACCTCTGTCTCCGGAGCTGCCTTACTGCCAAGCTCCGTCTCTCAGCAGAGCCCCGCTTCCTCTTAAAACAGCTGTAGGGATGCGGAATTGCCTTTATGTCAAAACGCACCTTGATTTACACCGCTTTTGAGCTTCGTTAATAGAGACTGACTTCAGCTTTTTCAGCTGGGTTTATCACAACAATTTACTCAATAAATCATGAGACAAGTGTACTAAAACATCTCCAGGAGCCTTCGGGGGACTTGCTTTAGGGCAGCCGGCTGTACCTGCAGGCTGCGCACTCCCTGGTTTCTTGGATCATTTCCATGTAGGTTTAAGTGTTCAGCAGAAGCACAGACTACTTTCCAGCAAAGCCAAGTTATGCGCTTCTCTTCAGTGAAGAAATGAAATTTCAGGTCAGAGTCAGCCTTTCTGTATCACTGTTCAGTGAGAAGCTGTACTTGTTGCACCCCCAGATTGACGAGGGTGCAATAAGAAAGAAGATTATTCAGCAAAACGAGCAGGACTGCTTTTAAAGAAGTGAGAAGTTCACGCAATTTATTTATTTTTTAAATATAAGCTGGGCCTTTCCGGTGTCTGCATTCCCACCAGGTCAAGATGAATTTATACAACATTCGATTCCCAGCCCGGCAAACAGAAATTAATATATCAAAACCAGACAACTTCATTACACAGGAGCAAACAGCCACTGCAAACCGGGCGTAGATATGAACCAGTCAGAGACGAAGAGCTCAGTGCCTGGAACCTCTACTTTTTGTTTTGCTTTTTGACTAATTCCCTAATTTCCTTTTGACACTAATTCACACATCTTATTCCGTTACAGGGGTATCTATATTGGGCCTGAAGTGAGCAGAAATTAGATCACTTGCAAGAAAACAGTCTAAAGAATTTTAGGGATTATTTGGGGTGGTGGTGGTGGTGGTAAACTTAACCATGATCAAGTTTCCATGATCTGATATGTTTTATTACCTAGTTCACACACAAAGTCATGCTGCACGCCACCCCTCAGAACGGGCATGCCACAGTTGGACACGTTGCGAAAGTTCACGGTCGCTTCCAGCTATTTCCCACTCACTTCGCAAGGTTACTTACACTTTTCTGATGAATTCTACAAAAAGTTGTGTACGGGGCCAAGAACTTTGTGGACACATTTTCGTGAGGACAAGAAATGAGAATGCTTTTCTAGAGGAGGAAAGAGAGGAGAAAAAGAATTAGAAGTGCTGTTAGTCCTACTGAAACACAAAGGCTGCCAAGGCAGAACTACGATCTGGACCCGGCTGTGGTCTCTCACAGCCTGAAGACTGATGGAAGGTGCAGCGTTGGGCTCCTTTCTTTACACCTCCTCAAGATGCAGGCCCTGGGTGGCAAGCGATGGCCACTATGGCTTGGCCAGCCATGACACACAACCCCAGCCCGACTATGGGATGCTACGGACCGGCTCCAGGGCACTGCACAGGTGGGAGGCCCAGGATAGCTGGATGGCACCATGCAGGGGACTGGGCGACAGCTTTAGGCTGCTACTTTGATTGGCGTAAGAGTATTGCCCTCTCATGCGTGGAAGGCGGTTACCGACCCCCGCTCCACCCCAGCCCTGGCACCTTGGTGACTTCCCCAACCACGAAGCCCTCGGAGGCAGCGATGTCAGGGACGCCCTCGGTGCTGAGCCCGCGGCGGGTCAGGCTGCCGTACAGGGTCGGCTTCCCTGCGGAGAGAGCAGCCATCAGCTCGGCCACCCCTCAGACCCCCCTCAGCTCACCCTCCCCTCAACCACAGCCCCCCCCTCCAGGTG